GCTGTTACTGAATATTTCTGTGTGTCCTTTATGTGTATCCAAGCAGAGAGAGAATAAAGTACAGAGAGCGAGAGAGAATAAATCAAGAGGCCAAATCAATAAGCATGAGTCCTTGGGCAGAAAGCAATAAACTCTTATTAACAAGGTGCAGCCACATTATCTGGGAGGGTGTGGAAAAAAGGGGAGAAATATTGATATAGAGAAAACAACTGCGTGTTTTATTAGAGCTTTTATTTTTCTAACACTTTGCCCTCTTTTGTGTGTGTGTGTGCGTGTGTGTGTGTGTGTGTGTGTGTGTGTGTGTGTGTGTGTGTGTGTGTGCTAGCAGAGCTGTTCAAGCGTGCGTGCGTGCGTGCATTACTTCGAGGTGGAGTCCCCTCACCACATCTGCAATGCAGCAGAAAACACAAAAAAAAGAGAAAGGGAGGCAGAGAGAGACTCACGTGCTCTGACAAAAGAGTGACGCCTTCCTCGGGTGTTTTTTTTAATGAAAAAAAAAAGCTTTTAAATTTGAGAGCTGGAGTATTCAATGTCACACCCTGAGAAGCATTAATGAAACTTCAGCTATAAAAGTTTTGCATTTTTGTTGTTGCTTTTTTTTCTTTTTTTTTAAAGGCACACCCCACGATCTCTGAACACATCTGCATTGCACACACACACACACACACACACACACACGCACACACACACAACCCCCTGCATAGCCAGCGCAGATGTGGCTAAATCGGGTGACCTTTACAAGCAGATCATGGAAGGACTTCACCTCTTACAAGCTAATGCACCATCCACGCTTTAGTGGTGACTTTACTCTGTAGTGTTTCTTTACCTGTTTTCTAAAGTGTCATTTGTCAATCTAAGTACTTTGGGTGACTCTCGTGGAATTACTGTGATTTATAATGATATGATGTGAGGTCACATGTGATCCACGTAACTCCTGGTTAGTCACATTCACGTGTGTTTGCTGATTTGATGTGGTTTTGTTGCTGTTTAAATACATATCTGTGTCTTTTACTCTCATGTTGTGGAACTAAAAAGCTAGATCTGTAAAGAATGAGAATTGTGGGGTTTCAAACCCTCTCCTTCCGATCCCCCAGAATCCACCTGTCTGTCACGTACCGCCTGACTGACCAACCTCTGACCTTCACTGTCATCTGTCCTTCAAACATGCACACGGACACATTTCACGTGTGTGTGTGTGCTTGTGTCTGTGTGTTATTCTCTGATCAATCCGTCACTCGTTTTTTTTCCGTTCTGTTGGTTTTTATGGATGATCCAACTTATTGTGAGTCTTCCAGAAAGAATTTTAAGGAAATCATCTTAACATTATTTTAATGTTGGACATATTCTTGTCTTCCAAATGCAAAAAGAGTGCTTCAGTCTTCCAGCTATCAAAGCCACAATGACACTATTTTTGTATTCAAAATGGGGCAAAAAATATATCTATATATCTCTCTATATAAATATATACACGCAAATGTGGTTGGGGTGCAGTAACTCCCCCTGTTGCTGGCAAGGTGGAACAACACAACATTGAAACACCATCCAAACCCATGGATCGCTTGGAGGAAGGAGCTGAAAAGGACTACAGAGAGCCCTGGGAGTTCGGAGACTCAGACTCGTGGGCTGAGATGGAGGATCACAGACGGGCTTGACTACAAGCATGCATGCGCCAATCATTTACTGGACACCTTCAAAGAAACAATCCTTCCCCAATATTTACTCTTTGACACCCTTTAACCCCTTGACCCTCCCCCTCTTCAACACTTCTACTATCCCAAACTCTTCTCTCTGCATTTGCTATATGATCTGTATTTATTTCTATAATAACTTACCCAAAGTCAAAGGAGACATATTATTGGATATAATTGAATAAAACAAACTAATATATTTGTATGATTGTAACACTAGTCTCTGGAGTTTTTTTTCTCTTTTTAATCAGGTCTTCTGTATCATTACATCTGCTTATTAGCTCTATGTTTGATTTATTAAAAAAACATCTAAATATCTACATACATATACATTCAATACATGCAAACCAAGTCAATTTAATGTCCATTTAATGAGTAAGAAGATACTTTTCGATGTGCCCTTATTTCCCAAAGTGAGTTGACAATATGATATAGTAACAAAATATGTCCTACAACAACACCTTTTACTTCTTTTTTACTCACAGTATGGAAGATGGATGTAAACGCCCCCTGGTTATGTAATCCACACGTTAAAACCTCAATATTAGCCATTTTTGGGAGCTAAATGTTACCATATTTGATGGAAGAGTAGAGTGTGAATTTGTCAGCTTGGTTAGGAAGCTCTCTTCATAAACTCTAACACTCACAGTCACAGCCAGTCGAAGTAATAGACTAATAAAACACAAGAAGAACTCGGAAAGCACAAACCTCTGCCAAGGTAATACTTATTTTTATGGGAACAACATTTTATTTATGTAAATTTATTTTGTTGCTTTTAAAAATACTTTAAAATTTGCAGTGCTGTAAAAATCAGATAAAAGGAGCATGACAAACTGTTACTTTGATTCCACAGACATTCTGTAGGAGTAGTAATGGATAACATGAATAACTTGCGCTTATTAAATATTATTCTAAAATATATTTCTAACTAACTGGGCACTCTTTCTTTTGACAATACTTTCTTTAAAGATATAAAGCATTTTGGGTTCAGCTTGAAAGAAAGCCAGATTTAAAATGCACAAGTGAGATCAAATGTGATATGATTTTTTGAATCTTTATGCAGCATATGTTGATAATACACACTACAGTTATTAAGACGCTAGCTATAGGTTATAAGGCTTTTTGTCTGTTTTTGACCAATACATCATTGCTTTGGATGACCTTAGTGGATGTAAGCCAAATTTTAATGGACTGTTAACATGACCCTACTCTAGACCCCTAAAAAGTTTCATCATAATTTATTCAACACTTTTCAGGCTATGGTATTTACAAACAGAATAATGAGACACATCAAATGCTACCAAAGAACATGACCTCCTTGGCAGAGGTAACTAGAATTTCACTCGAGCACAGAAAGTAAGTAGCAAAAAGATCTGCATTGGCTTCATTTTTCTTCTTCAAAGGTTGCAGCTTAGCTTCAACATGCCAAGAAAATCACATCGTGTACTTTGTTTGCACTGTAAAAAATTTCCAATGTTTTTACAGTGCACTTTTAGTTGACCTCGGTTGGCAGTTGGCAGACTTTTATTTTGAAACTCTAAGAAAATGCAAAAATTGAAAGGATAAAACAAGATAAAAAGAAAATGATTAAATTGATGCTTTTTAATATACATACAGATGAACAAAAAGGAGGAAAGTTGACACTTTCAGTGAATAAACTATAATGACTTCCCCAAACATTTAGAATAAAGTTACACAACACAGTTAACACATAATCTCTTTTTACTCATATTTGTAGATAAACAATCAATGTAATTTAGCTTAACTACTTCAGAATTAAATAATCATCTCTCATGAAGTCCTAGTTTGAGTTACTGCCAAAAAAAGCTTTATGCACTCTCCCCTGACCGGTGACGTGATGTGTGACTTGACACCGGGCGCTAGCTGTTAATAGTTAGCTTCTATGGTAATTAAATTGGCAGCAGGCCAAATGGCAGTGACAGTGTGTCATAAATTATGGTGGCGTGGATGGTCGACGAATGTGTGCAAGAGCAGTTTGGCATGAAGAGATGAGAGGAGGGACATAAAGACGGGGATGTAGATGTTTTACTGCAGGGGCAAATCAGAAAATACAGCAGTGTCTGGAGTGTTTCATCAACTTGACTTTATACTGAGAGAATAACAGCTGCTAATGTCTGGTCTGTTGGTTCTGCGTGTGTCCTGTAGAACCAAAACATACATCAGAACTGAATGCACAAAAAGTTGACATACAGTTTAAATAGGATCATTTAACCCCTCAGTTGGGCAAATAGGTTAAGCAATTAAAGGAAGTGATCGCAGCATGTGGGTGTAGGCAAGAGGAAGCTGGGGAAGAAGACTCAGCTGGAGGTAATGTCTCAGTGACATATTACAAAATAGGATTTTAGGTCAAAGGGTCATGAGATTAGAAAAAGAAAAGAGAAAGTCATTAAATAGATCAAATGAGCTGATAGTGAAAACTCTTGAGAACAAGAAGTTATTATTATTAAGATGGCAGCTGCCAGCGTGTTTTTGCATTCAAGAGTTTTGGAGCTGAGGAGAGCACTTACTGAAACAGCTTTCAAATCCAAATGTTTTCCAATTAATGTCTGATATACTCCAGGATTTTAGCATCTCAACAGTTTTGGGCCTAATATTTTAATTTCATAAAGCACTACATGTTTTTTGTTAGGTGACAGGTCTGGTCAGCAGGCAGCTTAGTTTAGCACCTATTTCATCTTTATATAATAATACATGCAGAATGCGGTTTGACATTGTGTTTCATCGTGTCACCTTTGGACTGGATGTTGCTCTAAAACCTGTAAATATTGTTTAATATGAACTTTACAGGTACAAACGTTATCCATGCCATTTGGACTGATAATAACCTGATTGTTCCCTTTCCAAAAAAAATAATTTTAAATTATTATCCAATAGTCAGATTATTTCAGATTATTTGAGGCCCATGCAATTTTGGACCTTGTTTATGTATGTTTTTTGTTCCTCTGCATTATAGAGTTTTATCTTATAATGTGGCTACAGAACTGGCTTCATGGTTTTCTGAAGCAGAAAGCCAAAACAGCTGAACTGTCATTCTGTCATTTCATAGGTTTTCTTTCCCCCCCCCCCAAAAAAAAAAAAAAATTCTCAGAATCTCTTTTAGCTTCACAGTTACATAAACAGCAATCTAACTTTTTGGGGAGGGTTTTGGAAGAGGAAATATACCAGAAAAAATTATACAAATTTTTTGCATATAAAACCTCACAAGAATTTCTGCCAGTTTGATGCTTGTGTGTATCCCCAACCCCTTCACCAAAGCCCCACCCCTTCCTGGAGGTAATTGGAGTACACAGCAGCTGGCATGGCTGCCTGACTGACAGACAACAACAGTACAAACTGAGTACTGACCAAGTCAAAGTTTAGCTGTAGAGTTCCAGTGAGCTGAACTGGTAAAGAAAGATAAGCAGGGAAGAAGTTTGATTCACTCATTCAAGATCTATTTCCGGGGAGGACAAGAGTTTGGTTTTGGGCCTCATCATGAAAAGCCTGGATCTGTTCCTGCTGGCATGTTGCTTATACAGCCTGAGCACATTGGGAGGTAAGTACAGGCTGACACAGTATACTCATGTAACAAAGCGTTAGTTGTCATGCAAGGCCAACATGAATACTCGTGTAGTATCTAATGTAGAATAAGATCATAGAATGGAAAGTACCAGAAAAGAACAAATTCATAATAGAAAACTTTACAGTAATACTTGAGAATATGATTTCTCTGACACAATGTCAGTTCCTATTGGAATACTGTACAATAAAAATGTTTTATTAGTACGTTTTGACATAGGCTAGACATTAATACAGGCCCAGCAGTTTATGTGTTTTCTTCTGCTCATGTTTCTTTAGCTTATCAATCTGGTTTGAGTGTTTAATGTCTTTTCCCATGGGCTAATTTAGAAAATGGCAGAAATCACAGTGAGTCATTTATCAAGAGAGACATGTAGCATGTCGTGTTGGTGTAACTGTGTAAAGAGCACAGAAAGAGCACAGAAACATGGTCATTAAACATAAAAATGAGAACCTTCAGTGGCTCTGTGAGGCTGTACCTCTTTGATCTGTTAACATTAGCATGCTAGCATTTGAAAAGCAGACAATATAAAAGATGGATGTGGCTATTGTGATGTCGCTCACTGGTTTCTGAAGTCCCAATTTGAAACATTGAGCTAAACATTACTTCCCTCTTGGTTGCAATAAATGTTAAAAGATATAAGAGTTTATTTCCAGATTGACAACAGGAGGAGGCTAGTCTTTGGTTGATTGGTGAGGGAAGAAAACTGTGAGAAGTGTTGTGGAGCAGCATGTAATGGAATGTACTCAGATAGCAACAAACGTTTGCAAACCTCTTTGGGCCACAACAAGTCGTGAATGACGGCATTGGCTCATCGGGTAAGTCTGACTGCCTTTAGTCACAGGGTTACCTTTGGTGGGTCGCATGCAGGTACTGTTGCAGGTATGTTGTAGCTTTTGGGCCACATTACACTTCTTGTAGCCCATGTTAGATCCATTCAAGAACTTTGGCTCATACGAGTTTACCATTACTGTACAGTAATCGTGCTGTGCGTTCTGGAAGTAGCCCTAATTAGGCCAAGACGTGTCTGCTATTGAGACAAGTGACAAACTTATTTCATTAGCAGACAGGAGCTGATGTACAGCTAAAGTTGATGAGTTTAGAGGATCGAGGCGCGGCATCCACACGAGCTCCAGAGTGACAAACGTGGCATACAGGGACAGTTAAGCACAGGGATTATATCACGTAGAGAGCCATGACAGATTTATGATATGTATCTCTCATTCAAATTGCATCTCATAGCATCAACAAACTAATAAAACTCACTAATGAATTTATGCCGAAGACATTTTTGAAAGATAACAAGAAATGATGAAATAGCGAAACAAAATACCTGTAACACAATGGCAGATTTCATCTTTAAGGACTTGTGTTCACAGCAGTTATAAACTAAAGAAAATACGATCAGAGACACGACAGTCGCAGAGAATCACAGCCAGTTAAGTTGAACACATTTCTTCAGAGAAATCAATAACTTCATTTTTTCATACAACTTATTTGGTAAGTTGCCCGGTGGTTACTGGACAGTGCGCTCAAACCACTCTGAGAAGGATGTAGTGTATACTGAACTTTATTGCAGTCAGTTTCAATTTTAAACCATGTTTATCACTGCTGAGCCACTACTCACTCGGTGAGTTTATGAGAAAAAAGCTGAATAACTGGGTCTTTTCAAGCAGATACTCACATATTCTCTCCATAAAAGAAAAATATAGTACAAAATCTTTTTAATTTTAACTGGTTATACAACCATCCAGTATTTTAGTTTTAGCTAATTCTTTAGTCAGTCTTGTTATTTACCAAGTGATCTCAGCTGGGTAGTGAGATAAAAAATGCTAAATTCTGGCCTTCGATAGTTACCTCCCGTTCCATCAGCAGCCATGCTTCCTTGTGCCTAGCTAATGGGGTGCCTTGCTGGGTGATCGTCATCATTTATTCCTGTCAGGTCAGATCCTGCTGGGGCCACAGCAATGCCAGACGTGATGAATGCTGCGTCACAAGAGCTGCTGATTATAAATGCTTCTAACCTTCCAACACCAAGGAGGAAAATGTTGCAAGTAAATCAGGGATTACGCATGAAAATGCAATGGAATGCAAGTGTTTGAGTAGGTTTGCAATTATGCAGACCTGAAGCGAAATATTTAGCATTGATATAAAAACAGGACCTTAGAACCTCAGGAACTTATTTGAAATACATGTCTTTTACTTGTTTTAATTAGAGAAAATAATGTGGGAATGCACTACTACTACTTCACATGGTAAGCCAATCCATCTGTCAATCCTGAATTCCACTTAAAGCAGTCTATCCACATCCAATAGCAGTACAGCTTTTCTGACTGAAAGGTCTGACTGATTGATTCTGGACTTGAAGGTGGTAATTGTCATCTAGTCACTTTTTTGGGGGGGTCATTGGTCAGTGAAGTCAACAGCATAGCATAATTTGCAAAAAGCAGAAAGACATAGAGCTGACCTTTCACCCCTTGGCTGGACCTAGGAAATTGGTCTGTAAAAGCAGTTAACAGAATTTTTGGTATTAAACAATCAGGAACGTTACATTGAAACATTATAGTGATCATCAAAATGAATAATCAATCAATTTTTTTTATCAACCATCCACTTGTTGCACACTATTGACTTCGGTATTGAGACAGCCGTCGATTGATTATATTTTGATGCACAGCACAGCTTGCTCGGCGACACAGTGTCACCAGTGTGTATCTAGTGAGTGAACTCCTTTATTAATTCAGTGCATCAATGCAGTCAGCAGCTGCTGAGGCTTTTGGAGGGACATATCTAGCTAAATCTGAGTGAATGACTAGCAATTATTAAAGGACTTCAGTTTGAAGCCTGCCATCACAACTGACCTCTGTCAATGTGTATTACAGGTGCAACTGAATCAGAGAATACTCTGATGAAGAGCCTCTTTTCCAAATACAACCTTAAGGTCCGACCAGCTCGTACCCCTGAAGAGAGGGTGGTGGTTCGCGTGGGCATGATCCTCACATCCTTCGTCGGACTGGTGAGGCCCAAAACCCCAACACAAAAGTACACACAGTTAACAGCAGGTCACTGCAGATTAAAAAAAAATCTAAATTCTAGCATAGTAGAATAAATTTAAACAAGGGCTGATTCTAATGGATTATAAGCCAGGTCTCCATCGACCCCTTTCGAGAACCCAGGACTGAATGTAACCCAGCATGATGTAACAGAAGTTTCGACCAGTTTAATGCTGATTCCCAATCACCAAAATGTTTGCCATTAGCTGACAATTCACAAGAACAGTCGCCTTAAGGTGCTTTATGTTGTAAGGTAAAGACCCTACAGCATTTGGGAGAAAACCTCAACAAACTATGACTGCCTGTGAACATCTGCTTTGTGACAGTGGTCAGAAAAAACTCCCTTTTAACAGGAAGAAACCACTCCCAACCACCTGTCTTATAAGTAAGACTGCAGTCTGAACAAAATGAAGAGAGCAAAGCACTCCGTTGGCTAATACGTTATGAGGTCATGAAGATACAATGGAGCTTAATTATTTAAGGAACTATATATGAGAAGGATTTTACTTCTAGTCTGGATTTAGCAGAAATCCAGTGAAGAGAAGTTAATACTACTAGACGCTGTTACTGCTCTTTATGCAGTGTTCTGAATCGACTGACGGCTTTTCAGAGAGCTTGTAGAACAGCCTAATCATAAAGAACTGAAACTGTCTAGCCTAGAAGCTACATTCTTTTAATATCTTTTCCAAGATCTGAAAAGATGAATCTGTCATAATTGGACACATCAAAGTCTGTGACCATGCTACAGTAACTTCACATGCTGGAACTCTTAGCCAGAGAGACGATGGTTTTTCTGTGGCTTTGCCTCTGAAATGTAAATGTAAAGCTTATCTTCCATATTCTCCACCATGAATGAATCCCAGTGCCATCTGAATTTAAATTCACAACCAGATGGCAAAAATGAGTACTACTACTGAGGTGTAGTGAAGTACTGTAGTTTTATTCATTCATGCTGGGAAATAGTGTTTAGTGGCATGCACTGATTGGGCTGCTGCCTGTGTGACTGCATTAAAGGATAAGCCGTACACACACACACTCACACACGGTCACTTTATGAGCTTTTTATTTTCCCCTTTACTCTCTTCTCCTAGGCAATCAAAAACCAACACACATGGTGCATCCACACACCCACACTCCTTACACCTCCACTCAAGGTCACGCTCTCTCTTCCTCTCTCGTCACGTGGACCATCTTAAATTGTGGAGTTGACCTGTCTTGAAAACTAACCCACTTGGATTCTTAGTTTGACAAGTAACTAGTCCAGCTGGGTAACTGCAGAGTTATTATTAACACTGGGCCTGATGGGTATTGATATGCAGGCAATGACATGTGTGAGGTAGCAAGATGTGTTTGCATGAGGAAGACATCCAACGTTTGCTGCCCCCACTCATGCTTCTGCTTTGGTCCCAGCTGTCCCAGTTGGGGTTTTAAATAGCAGGCCGAGGAGCAGAGAAGCTTAGCCAGAATTCATGACTTGACCTTCACATCATGGGTACAACAGTCCCACAATGCAATATGTCACATTTTGTACATGCAAAAATGCTCCCTCTCACCAGATAACCAAACCATTATCATGACCAGCAGCTCCAGCAAACATCAGCTGATACTAGAAATTAATATTAAATAAATTTTAACAACAGCTGATCAAGCTTAAACGTGCTGCTGTTGTTTAGCGCGACATCCGCTGGTTTCCTGTTTCTGGCGCAAAGTGAGCGATAAACAAACAAGACAGAAAAGCTGATCAGCTGATCATTGATCAGTTTCATGATTGAAGTAGCTGTGCAGCATAAACACACAGAATAAATCCAGCTTTGTGTGTTTTTCCATTATAGCTAAAGTACGGGACAAACTGTGTTCCTTCTCAGCTCAATACGAAACGCGTAATATTTTCTCTGAATGAGGGACCATTCTATTTTTTAAGGAGCGGTTGGCAACTCTACTAACTAACCT